TCCTGAGATATTGGTTCACCGGCTATCCAGGCCATAAATGCGTCTCCACGGCCAGAAGCTCAGAACCCACGATCAAGAGCGGCGGTCGAGATTCACCGGGATTTCTGGGGTCACACCACCATACTTCACGATCCCAAATGTCGATTGGACTGCCCACTTGCGCTATCATACGACCCTTGATTTTCAAGGCGCCGGAGCACCATCCTTGTTGTTCGTTCACTCACCCCATATATCACACGACCATCGCTCCCTGAGCAGCGCGCCGGAGCACCGCCCAAAACCCACCACCAACACCATCACTCAACGGCCTTGTAGTTCAGGCCGTGAACCTAACAGCCGAGACCATTTCCTCTCTCGGCTACAATCGTTTGATTAGGAAGACGAGTTCAAACAGGCGCACCACTTATCCATCCAACACTCATCAACACATCGACACACGGTAGACCGTGCTGGCACGCCCGCGCACAACCGCACCGCACCCAAAAGCAGGAAACCGCGTGTTAACGCATATCCCCTCGGCCCGGAACTCCAGGCCGTGAGATTTGCGCGGCAGACACCTCTTCACATCTTGATGTGATTACCCATTTCATTTGGCCTCTAGCAAATGTGAACCCCCGAATGTTGTCGTGAAGTCCCAATGTACTAATTAAGTCTTAGCCCACCATGCTTGCTTTGTGTAGGAATCAAACATGAAACCTCATCATATTAGAATGTTGGCCTATGCTTGTTCCTACCTTTGCAACATCAAATGCAGGAAATGGATCCCTCCTAAACATGCGTCATTGCTATCAACTTCCCTATGTCTGAGGCAAGCCTTCACAAGTGTCATGCACATTTGGAATCCATCATGGTGGAAGGCCATGCAAAGGACATCAAGAATGCCTTTCGTTTATCGACTTAATGTTATCAATTGATTGAGGGAGTTTTTGGGTCTCAGCTTTTATCTTGTTAAACACTTTAATTGTTTTGACAACATATTGTCCTAGGACAACTATTACTCCATTTAAACATATTAATAGTTACATTATACTCTCACTATTTAGTTTCAAAAACTCAAACCAATTTCATAAAACTATTTTATTTTGAAATTGGGAATATGTGTTACTATTAATGAAATACCTTTTGCATTTCTTAAGTATGGTTAAATAGTTGTTTCTAGGCTCATGGATGATTATGGACTTTTTATTTCGATTCAACATCGAGCCAAGATGTTGAATCTAGGTCTTTGGAGGGTGATTGATTTTATTACGCGTTTTAACTTCTTTAAAACATTCATGGTTGATGGGCATTGGACCCAAGACTATTCTCAAAGTCCCTAACTAATCTTCTTTCTCCTTTGTCTCCTTCTTGGGCTCCCTTCTTCCTAATCTCTATAGAAGACTCAAGGCCCAATGGACCTTGAGGGAATTGTGTTTGGAGGGAGATAAAAATTACATAAGAGAATGAGAGAGGAGAAGCATGCAAGCTTCTATTTAATTTACAAACCAATTGCTAATTTAAGCAACTTCAAAAATATAATTAGTTACAATCCATCCATTCAATCAAACCCATTCATCTAATGAATTAACGGCCAATCACATAGCTCAATTTGATTTTTGGGGCCTTAAGTCCATAATCATCCTTATTCCAATCATTTAATCAAATTAAACAATAAAGGATATGATACATTAAAAAATTGAGACTTTAGAACCTATGGGCTTATTTCCAATGGAACATTAAATCAAACATAAAATTTTAATGTTTCACTAAAAGACAAAACAGTTTTGTTTTTAGTGTATTTGGGCAAAATTTGCAATTTCAAAAGTTATGGGCCAAAACCGAAAATACTACATTTTCAAATTTGGACCCAACATTTTTGTGTAATTGCATGAAGACCCAAAATGGGTCTCCCTAAGTGGCTGCCCAAATTTGCAAGGGGTGGGGGGTAAGGTTTTGTGTGTGTGGTCCCACTTGTCACGACATTCCAAATTGTACCCATAAAGCATCTTTATTCTCATTGGGGCAATGGGAGACACAAGGTACAACCCTATGGCCCTTGTCATAAAATATTTTTGACTAACATGTAACCATCATATCTCATACAATTCCATGAATCAAAAAGCAATATTCTCTAGGGATCAAAAAGAACTTTTCATGAAAATCTCAAGAACATAAAGAACATTCTTATTCTTTCAAAACCTTTTTATAAAATCATATAAAATCCTAAAATCTTTGAAAAATCATATTTGTGTTTAGAATTTCAAGACCAACACAACAATGTATATTAGATAAGCATGAAAAACACACAAGACCAAAAACCCCAAGGATGTTGTCACCCCCTTTGTCCATTTTGAAAAATCTATTTCATGCAACATCCAAAATTCCAAGTATCAAGCATACATGTGAATCAATCATGAAAGATATGATATGTTATAACATTTATAACCATGAAACTAAGCCCATATTCTTTATAAAACTCAAAAGGGTGCACCTTTTCAAAGACCTTGGCTCTTGATACCACTTGAAGGGAATATTATGGGAATGGTGTTGTGTAGAGATTTCTAAAAACTCTACAACCAAACTTTGTGAGTATAAATCAGCTAGCATGCCATATCTAATATGAAACGAAAGTAAGAGTGGAAACATTAAATAAACTAGGGATTCATGCAAGTCTCATTTAGTCCCAATCTTTATAAGTCTATGAAAGTGTGCACCAAAGACTCTCTAAATCCTATTTGAGAGAAAGATAAGATGTTCATACCCTTGAAGCGAATCTTGAAACCAAGAATGGTGTTCAAGTAGAGGGAGTGGTCCCTTTGTTGTTGGCTCTCTCTTTGATGTTGATTCTCCACCTTGTAGCTCTCCAAATAGGTACAAAGATATGCATCTCCCTAAAGCTCTTTACCAAGGATTGAATGGGATGAGAGAATGAGTAGACAACAAGTGAAGAGTGGTGCTAGCACCTTCACTTGATGTGACAGATTCAAGGGGTTAGGGAGAGAGAGCTTGATGTTTTCTCTCTTCCAATTTCACCAACTTGAAAAACCCTAGGATGATAGGATTTCATAGCTACACACTTATAGGATCAAAAATGTCACAAGAGTGACAAAAATGCCCCCAAGCCCTAGTGTAGCCACACCCCCTTTTTGTGTGTCATCTTTTGCTATCTTGGTCAAACACATTAATCCTATAATGTGTCACATATATGCCTAAGTCCATATGGTCAAATCCCTTTTGAATTTCCAAGTCATATGGGACCTTTAATTAAATTTTCATAATTTTAATTGAATAATTAAATTAATCTAATCAATTTAATTACTATAGTGACTTAACTAATTTAATCACTCACTTGTCTAACGAGTGTTGGTCCCAGTCATCCTTAGTTGACCGTGTTAAGTGTCGGGCAATCGTTTGACTTTTGACTTTTGACTTTGACCTTTGACTTTCACATTGACTTTGACTAAGTCACAAAATCATTCATTCTCTTCATAATTTCCCAATCGATTCCTTTTCGGTGTACGATCTTATAGGTTCTAATTAGAGAGACAGTGGGTATGACTGATTCACTCTGAATCAAGTGTGAATTGTATCCCTCCATACAGTTCTCCCTGTTGGCTAAGGCTAATTATAATTAGTCTTTACTGGGCTTCCACAATCCATGAGTGAGACCCAGCAGTATGTCATGGCTACCCAAGCTAAAAAGAATTAATTTAGAGAAACTAGTCAGTTTGTGATTACAATGCAATTCTATCATTCTCTAATTCAATACTCTATGTCATATTCTCGGGATATGGTAAACTTGTGTCAAAATACCTAATATGACATCTC